GCTGAGGCAGGAGGATCGTTGCAAGCTCCAGGCCAGCTCACTACAAAGTGAGCTCAAGGCCAGTTTGAATTGTATAGCGAGACCTTGTCTCAAAAAGACAAAAAAGAAGAAAAAAAAAAAAAAAAAAAGGTAGCTGAGTGTGCTTGGAATTATTTCTTCAGGATGACCAGGCCTTGGTCAGACAAGCAGGAGCCTGAGGTCAAGAGTTAGTAAGGACCTGATGGACAGTTAAGCCCAGGAATGCAAGCAAGGTAATAAGCAAGGTGATAGATGACCACTATGACAACTTCTGCTCTTACATATCTGGAAAACTGCTCTTACTTTGTTCTTTTAATGACCCACTTGTGCCAGGTATGGTGATGCACACTTATAATCCCAGCGCTTGGGAGGCTGAGGCAGCAGGATTGCCATGAGTTCAAGGCCAACCTGGACTACACAGTGAGACCCTGTCTCAAAAAAACAAAACAAAACAAAACAAAAAACCTAAAGAAAAGAACCACTTGGATAGGATAGAGGCCAATATGCATGATGTACCTGTAGACATAGCTTGCTACGTGCCTCAACATCTCATAGGCCCATTTCTTTTTTTTTTTGTTTGTTTTTTTTCCAGTACCGGGGATCAAACTCATGACCTTGTGCTTGCCAGGCAGGTGCTGTTCTGCTGAGCTAAATCCCCAGCCCTTCATAGGCCCATTTCTTATTTAAGTAAGCTTAAATCCTATTGGTTGACCTTAGTTTGAATTAGAATGGTTTGAGGGCTGGTCATTTTTTGGCATAAAAACCAAAAAGTTTGAGTCCTTGGGGCTGGGGATTTAGCTCAGTGGCTCAGCGCCTGCCTGGCAAGAGCAACGTCATAAGTTTGATTCCCGGTACTGGAGAAAAACCAAAAAAAAAAAAAAAAAACCAACCCAAAAAGTTTGAGTCCTTGGGGCTGGGGATTTAGCTCAGTGGCTCAGCGCCTGCCTGGCAAGAGCAACGTCATAAGTTTGATTCCCGGTACTGGAGAAAAACCAAAAAAAAAAAAAAAAAACCAACCCAAAAAGTTTGAGTCCTTGTGGCAACCTACTTTTGGGTCCCTTCCCGACTATTGGAAGCTATTTCTGTCTTCTTAATAAACACTCTTCCTGTCTACCTCTTTTGTCCTTGACTTCATTCTTTGACTTTGTGAGACACAGACCCATGTTACACTATTACACAACTAGACCTAATAGATATAGAAGAATATTCCAGCAATGGCAGAGTGCACATTCTTTTCAAGTGCGCGCAGAACAGTGATGGTGAACCTTTCACTGATAACAGCCTGCTGTGCATGCATCCCATAGGTTCACCACCACTGACATAGAACGTTCACCAGGACAGACCGTGTGTTAGGCACAAAAACAAAAAAACAAAACAAAACAAAATCAATAAATTTATTTATTTATTTATTTATTTTGGTCTTTTTGAAACAGGGTCTCACTGTGCAGTTTAGGTTGGTCTTGAGCTCACTTTGTAGCCCAGGCTGGTCTCAAACTTGCAACGATCCTCCTGCCTCAGCCTCCCGAGTGCTGGAATCACAGGCTTGCCCCACCATGCCTGGCCCTCAAAATCAATACATTTAAATTGAAGGGCTGGGGAGATAGCTCAGCGGCATGCCTGCCTGGCAAGCACAAGGTCCTGAGTTTGATTCCCGATACCAAAAAAAAACAGAAAGCAAAAAAAAAAGATTTAATAAAAAGAAAAAAAATTGAAATCACATAAAGTATCTTCTCTGACTATAATGGATTGAAACTAGAAATCAGTAACAAAACTGGCTGTGGTGGTGCACGCCTGTAATCTCAGTACTCGGGAGGGAGGCTGAGGCAGGAGGATCGTTGCAAGTTCGAGACCAGCCTGAGCTACAAAGTGAGCTCAAGGCCAGCCTGAACTGCTGCATTATGAGACCTTGTCTCAAAAAGACCAAAAAAAAAAAAAAAAAAAAAAAAAAAAAAAAAGAAAGAAAGAAAGAAAACTTTCTGGAAAATTCGCAACTATGTGGAAATTAAATGACACAATTCCTAAATAAATGAGTCACAGAAATGATAACAAATTAGAGGGGCTGGGGATTTAGCTCAGCAGTACAGCGCCTACCCAGCAACCGCAAGGTCATGAGTTTGATCCCCGGTATGGGGGGCGGGGGGGATGACAAAAATAAATAAATGAATAAATAGATAGATAACAAATTAGAAAACACTTCGACACAAATGAAAATGAAAGCTGGGTGTGGTAGCATATACCTTTAATCCCAGTACTCAGGAGATTGAGGCAGGAGGATCACCACTAGTTCGAGGCCAGCCTGGGCTACATAAGCAAGTTCAAGGCCAGCCCACAATACATAGAGAGACCATGCTTCAAAAAAAAGGGCCGGGCGTGGTGATGGATGCCTGTAATCCCAGCATTGGAAGGCTGAGGCAGGAGGATTGCTGCAAGTTCGAGGCCAGCCTGAAACTGCATATTGAGACGCTGTCTCAAAGACACCCCCCCACTAAAAAAGAAAAGCAACAAAATAAAATGACAATGTTGTTTGTTGTTATCTGTAAAAGTACTGAGGAAGAAGTATTTGGTATGGTGAGCTCTGGGTGTAATTTAGCCCCATCATTTTCTAGTTTATTTGAAGAACTTTTATAACTGTACAATAAAAAGATATAGTCCAATTTAAAAGATGCAAAAGATAAATTTGATTGAAGAAAAATAAATAAATAAATAAATAAAGGCAAAGTGACTGAATAGACATATTTCAAAGAAGATACAGACATGACCAATGTAGAGGCTTATCACCATTATTTATGAGGGAAACACAGTTTAAAGCCACAATGCAGGGCTGGGGATTTAACTCAGCGGCACAGCACCTGCCTGGCAAGAGCAAGGTTGTGAGTTCGATTCCTGGTACTGGAAAAAAATTAAAAAAACCAAAAACACAAAAAACATGCAATACCACTGCATGCCATTGGGATGACTAAAATTAAAAAAATTAGATGATTACAAGTGTTGACAAGGATTTGGAGAAATTAGAACCCTTATCTGTATATTGCTGGTGGGGATGTAAAACGGTACAGCTAGCTGCTCTAGAAAACAACTTGGTAGTTCCTCAAACAATTAACATGAAGTTACCACATGATCCAATAATTCCATTCCTAGATATATATGTAAGAGACGTGAAAAAATATATATGCATTAAATTTGTACATGAATGCTTCTAGTGACATTATTCGTAAGAGCCCAAAGCTGGGCGTGGTGGCGCATGCCTGCCTGTAATCCCAGCACTCGGGAGGCTGGGGCAGGAGGATCGTTGTGAGTTTGAGACCAGCCTGGGCTACAAAGTGAGCTCAAGGCCAGCCTGAACTGTATAGCAAGACCCTGTCTCAAAAAGACAAAAAATAAAATAAAATAAAATAAAATAAAATAACATAAGAGCCCAAAGGAGGAAACAATGTACTGTAACTGTCCATCACCTGTGTAGTACATCCAGACCATGGAAGTTTTCAGCCTTAAAACCCAACAAACTCCCAACTCTCACCAAAACTACTAATTGAAGCTAGGTGTGGTAGCGCACCCCTGGAATCCCAGCACTTGGGAGGCTGAGGCAGGAAGATCGATGTCCTGAGTTCAAGGCTAGCCTGGGCTTTACATACTGAGTTCAAGGGCAGCCTGAACTACATAGCAAGAACTTATCTCAACAAAACAAAACAACAACAAAAACAGTTCTAATTGATGCTATAATACAGATAAACTTTGAAAACATGCCAAGTGGAAGAAGGCAGTCACAAAAGACTACATATATGATCCCATTTATATGGAATATCTGTAACAGGCAAATCATAAAAACATAGATTGCTTGCTGCTGGGGAGGAAAATGGACAGTAGTCGTATAATAGCTAAAGGGGATGAAGTTTCTTTAGGGGATGATGAAACTGTTATAAAATTGATTGTGGCTATGTATACATTCTATGAATATGTTAAAAGCCATTGAATTGTACACTTTAAATGTGCACGTTGTATGGTAAATGAATTATAGCCTTATAAAGTTATTTTAAAAAGACTGAGGCAAGGTATGGTGGCATACTCCTGTAATCCTAGCACTTGGGAGGCTGAGGCAGGAGGATCATTGTGAGTTCAAGGCCAGCCTGGGCTACAAAGGGAGCTCAAGGCCAACTTGAACTGCATAGGCAGACCCTGTCTCAAAAAAAAAAAAAAAAAAAAAAATTGACACACCTTACTCTTTTTTTTCTTTTTCTCCGGTACCAGGAACCGAATTCACGAGCTTGCGCTTGCCAGGCAGGCGCTTTGCCGCTGAGCTAAATCCCCAGCCCCCAACACACCTTACTCTTGCTTCTCTTTCTGAGGGTCCTAGGTATCTGGAAGCAACTCCCCAGAGACCCCCATCCGATAACAGGGACCAGGACATTTACAATGGAACATTAGCAGCTCAGGGGTCTTGCAGGGGAGAGCACTGCAGTCTGCAGGTACAGACCTTGAAGGAGGGAGTGTGCGTCCTTGCTACGTTGGGTTGGCCTCGGTCAGTGTCCACAGTATTTGCCACTCACCGGGTCACTGAGAACTCAACAGCAGTCTTGAGATGGGACACTGGAATTTGGGGGACGCTAGCAATATGCCCAAACCCCGGGTGTGGAGGAGCATTCCCATCTAATGGAGCTCCACTGTCAAACTAGGTTTAAGAGATTTCACTCTCAACTCCTTCTAATGCAAAATGTACAAGAGACTAATGCTTTCATTTTATAATTTGTATTTAACTGATTTAGATTTGTGAGTTGAAAATCCTGCTACGTTCCGCACAGTACTAGAACCTTGCAGAGAACGTCAGATTCCCTGTTTGTTTTTACTTTGGATCTAGAAAGTTTGGTTTGCTACCGCAGACAATTGAGGTTAAAAAGGAAAACAAATGATTTAGATTTAAAAATGCAGTTTCTCATTTTTTAAATTAAATTGTTTGAATTCCTGGTTTCCTACCCAAACTTGCTGCTCTCGGTCTCCCCCTCGCGGGGTGGGGGGAGCTCGGTGGCTTGGCCTTTTTCACTTTCACTAAAGAGCCCGCCCCACCAGCCGCGCTCGCCCAAGGCGGGCAGCCCTCGCGGCCACCGTACCTCTACTTCCGCCTGCCGGCCAAGCACAGGACTGAGACCCGAGGACGCGGTGCGTCTGAAAGCAGTCGCCGGCCTGGCTAGCCCGCACTGTGGGAGGAACCAAAGGACGGGCGGGGCCAGAACGTGGAGCTGGGCTGCGGTGCAAGGGCGGGGCTGCTGTGTTACCCTGCGAGAACAAAGCAGGGACAGCCAGAGGTAGTCTTGAAAAAAAGGGGCCCTCTCCGTCCTCAAGGAGGGCAGGGGCTGGGGGCGGGGCGTGATGGGCGGAGCCAGAGAACCGGGCGGGAACCTGCGCCTCTGGCTGAGCGAGCCGAAAGGGAAGGCAGCCGCTCCCGACCGAGTTTCCACAGCGGGGGCCCGAGGGTGGGAGTGTGAAGTGAGGAGGAATAAAGGGAGATCAGAGTAGTGTCCTGAGAGGAGATCCTGACAAGAAGGGCGTCTTTAGGGGATGGCGGCCTGAGGGGTGGGGGTCCTGAGAAGAGATCAAGAGGGGAAGTGTGTCCCGAGGTGTGTGGCGTCCCCAGGGGAGGGGGCGTCCCGAGAGGAATGGTGTCCAGAGGGGAAGGGGTCCTGAGGGAGGTGGCATCCAGAAGGGAGGGCGCCCGGAGGAGAAGAGGTCCCTGAGGAGGGTGGATGCCTGAGAGGAGGAAGGGAGGTCAGGAGGGGAAACCAGGGTCCTGAAGATGGGGGACTGCTGGGACGAGAGGGGAGATTCCCGAGGAAGGAGGGTTCAGGGATGTCCAGGTAATTCAGCGTCCTGAGCAGGCGGAGTGAATTTTAGGGGAGCCTCAGGACTGGCCTGAGGGAGACTTGGGCTGCCCTCTACGAACGGTGGACTCTCCATTACCCCTGGTAAACAAGAAGCAAGGGCAGTAAAGAAATTTAATGTGAAGGGGCCGGGGATTTAGCTCAGCGGCACAGCGTCTGCCTGGCAAGCGCAAGGTCGTGAGTTGGATTCCCGGTACCGGAAACAAACAAACAAACAAAGTTAGTGTGATGCTAACGTCACCCTGCAGCCCCCGTATCAGCCTGCACTCATTGCCCTTACAGCCTTAAACGTGCACATTTCATCCACATTTTTTGAGATTCTTTAAAACTGCACCTGAACCTGAAAACCTACATATACTCAGTCCCCCCTTTAGATTTTTGCTGATCTCAATCTGATCTCAGCCTGCCCATAGGTAGAGGAATAAAATCTGATCTTTCCCACAGCTTCGGTTTCCGCGTGAGCAGATGGTTTCTCGCGTGCTGTTATTACAGGGAAGACAGGCTGTTGGACGAGTAAGGATGCCTTTAGAGCGTGCAAGAGTCTTGGGTATAAGGCAAGGTTCTGGGGTGGGAAAGACATGCAGGCATTTAAAAGTCCTCTGTGAAAAAAAATGGAAGAAGGCTTCCCTCTGCTGGAGGAATCTTTTATCAGCCTGTAGTTCTCAAGAGAAGATAATGGGGAAGAAAGCATTTGGCCTAGAGAGGAGAATGGGCTTAGGTGAGGGAGAAGGAGGATTAGGGGCTGGGGATTTAGCTCAGCTGCACAGTGCCTGCCTGGCAAGTGTGAGGTTGTGAGTTTAATTCCTGGTACTGGGAAAAAAAAAAAAAAAAAAACCAAAAATTAAAAAAAAGAGAAGTAAGAAGGATTAAGTAATGGGAAATGGTAAAATGGTTCCTGGCAGCAAGAGCAGCATTTTATCCTGATCATGTGTTCCATGCTGACCTTTTTCCGGCCCCAACCATTTTATCCTGATCATGTGTTCCATCCCGACCACCTGTCACCTGACCTCCATGTAGAGGAGCCAGGTCTGACCAGTGCAGGCAGGTGCCAGTTTTCCACGCAGTCACTGTTTTAATGTCTTGGGCACTTAGGTAGGCCCTCATTTCCTCTTTTCTGTTATTCCAGTAGTCTTGCCTCTCCATCTATCTCTCTTTCCCAGGGCAGGGCTCTGAGCAAGTCCTGGAGCCCTTGACCAGTCAGAGTCCTGTCCTGGTTCTACCTCTCACCTGCCCTGTGTGTGGGCCAAGATCTGAACCTCCTGTCACCTGTTTCTTCCCGATGATGTTTATTTAACCAACAGCCAACATTTCCTGCCACTCAGACTGCCCACTCTGATCACACAGTTGTAACTTCTGGTTGGAAGATCACTCCCAGACACCTGGTCTTCAAGCCTTTCCAGATCTCTGGTACACTGGCCTCTTTATCTTCTGCCCACCTGACAGCCTTTCTGGTCTCCACTTATCTCTCACATGGCATAGTCCAGGAGTCTCCTCCCTGTAATAACAGCGCATGAGGAACCACCTGGAGATTGATGTTCCTACACTCTTGCTTAACTGTCCTAAGCACTCTACCTGCATACTGTCCTCATGCCTACCCCCAGGCCATGAAATTCTATAGAAGTCACAAGGTTGGTGGCTGCTGCCTTTGAAAATTCCCACTGGAGATTAATGCTGTTTTGCTCAGTATATACTCAGACCTCCCAGGTTCCTCTCTTGGTTCTTTCTTCTACCTTCACTCTCAGACCACTCCCATTTCCTGCACTCTACTTTTTGCTCACAGAGAATTTTTTTTTTTTTTTTTTTTTGTCTTTTTGAGACAGGGTCTCACTGTGCAGTTCAAGCTGACCTTGAGCTCACTTTGTAGCCCAGGCTGGTCTCGAACTCTCAAGGATCCTCCTGCCTCAGCCTCCTGAGTGCTGGGATTACAGGTGTGTGCCCCCACGCCCGGCTCACAGAGATTATTTTTACAGAGAAAATTGAAACCCTACATCTAGAGTTCCCGTAGTTTCCCAACACCTGGCATTCACACTCATCCTTCTTGTCCTCTTTTCCTTCTAGGACAGTGGAAGAGATGCTCTTCCTGCAGTCAAGGTACCTCCACATGAAGTTCCTTTTCCCCAGTCTTTTCCGGTTCCCTACACATATTAAGAAACTCAAGCTCAGCCAGGCTTTTGATATTTTCTGTCAAAAATATAACTCATTGTCTTCCTCCAAAACTGCGTTTCCTTGTTGTACGCTCACCTCTAGCATTTGCAGGATTGTGGGAAGAGCACAAATGGAGGCCCACTTGCCATATGGTAGAGTAGTTGAATGTTATCACTCAAGCCAACTGTTAAATTATGTCCTTTTTTTTTTCCACTTTGACAAGTAAAACTTTGTAACAACCTAGAAGATCTGATAGGAACTTAAGATTCTTGTACTTCCTGGAGTTTTGGGCCAAGATGTGCTACCTTGGGGAGAGCTGACCCCCTGGTGTCAACCTCATTCCACACCCTTTCCTTTCCCATCTGGACTTGGTCTTGCACTTTGAGGGTTCTGGTGTTCATGATTTTGAGCACCTGTAGCCCACAAGTCCAATCTCTGCTCATACCACCTAAGCTTCATTTCCCTCCTGAATTGGCCACGAGCACAAAAGACAAGAAGGTTGACCTCAGAAAGAGGAATTGAAGGGTCCAGGCTTCAAGCGCCTCAGTGGCCCAAGCGTCTGCCTGGTAAGCGCAAAGTGCTAAGTTAGATTCCTGGTACCAAAAGAGGTGGGGAGAGAGAGGAATTGAAATTTGAGTTCATGGGGTCAAATCAAGAACAACAAGTGCATCATAGGGCTGGGGAAGTAGGCAGAGCAAGGAAGTGGGCAGAGAAAGAGTCTCTGAAGCAACTGTAAGGATCCACCTTGGCTGGGCCTGAGATGACAAATTCTGTGCCATCAGTCACCCAGTCACCTCAACCAGGACAGCAGATATATTCTGGTTACTCTATTCATTATTGCTCACCCTCAAGTGGTTAGGGTTTCGTTTTCTTACTAAATAACTTGAATGAACTTCCGTTTACCTGCAGTTTACGCAATCATCTCTTATTGGAATGATTTCAACAGCCTCAGTCTAACCCATCTCCTTTCTTCAATCTTGTCTTTTTTAATTCCATTCTTCCCACTTCTCTGAATGAACTTTCAGAGCACAATCATGGCCACTCTTGTTAGAAACCATGTTTCTGCTTATTGCCTATAGGCTCCTTAGCATGTCCAAACTCCTTAGCATGTCATTCACAGTTCTTGCCAGTCTGACACCTCCAGTTGCACTGTTCACACCTCACTGGCCCCCACCCCACAGAAAGACACTAAACACACACAAATATAAACACCACACACACCACATATACCCACATAAACAACACACATTCACACTATCAGAGATACAGTAGAAATGCATTTAGACCATATCATACACACATTCATACATACAGCATACACGTTCACACACTATCACAGAAACTGACACACAGCCATATGTATACCTTCACTGACATAGCACACTCTCAAAGTACATAGCTACCTCCTCCTCTTTTGCCTCCTGCCCCTTTTGCTATACTGGAGATGAGTCCTAGAGCTTCACACTGAGCTATGTCCACAATTCTTTTTTATTTTTTTAAGACAGGGCTTGCCAAGTCACTAAATTGTATAGGTTGGGCTCAAACTTGTGACCCTCCTGCCTCAGCCTCCTGGAGTGCTAGGGTTATGAGTGTGTCCCCTGCTTCCAGCTCACAAACAGTTTCTCTCATATACTCAAGCATATTCTCACATACATACATATACCCACATACCTCAATCACTTCTATACCTATACCACATCTACACATTCCAGTGCACACTATATACACGTACACTCTGATACACATTACATATGTTTACACACAGAAGTTGAGCTTTAGTTTTCATTCCTACAACCCTTAAGAACAGGGTCTCGCTATGTAGTTCAGGCTGGCCTTGAGCTCACTTTGTAGCCCAGTCTGCTCTCAAACTTGCAACGATCCTCCTGCCTCAGCCTCCAGAGTGCTGGGATTACAGGCATGTGCCCCCCACCCAGTGAGAACAGTCCTTTTTTCAAACTGCTCTTCCAATTTGAACTCTCATTTCTCCCTTCAGCACCAGCTGCCTGGATTTCCTGCCTCCAGAAATCCTTTCCTGACTTCTAAACTTGACAGTTCTGGAGTTGGATGATCGGAAGTAGTCCAGGAATTCCCTTGAGAGTAAAACATAAGGCTTGCTTGATTGGCTGGGTATAGGAAACCAGAATCTAGCTTCTTAAGGTGAGATTTCTTAAATGTTGGGCCTCCCCATTCATATTATTTTTGTCACCCTGTCGGTAGTCTCAGAATCATTAACTATACCACATTTCAAACATGAGGGTCCTATGTGATTGTGATTACTAGGGAGAAATGAAGACCACCCCACTATAGCCAGGCTGGATGGCAGGGAACACTGTGGGTAGGGAGCAGGGAAGTAAGACAGCAGGAGAGGCACACAGACTGAGGGCTCTAACATCCTTGTGCAAAGGCCCATAGTCTCAGTCAGAAACACGTCTGGTTTGGAATGAACTAAGTTCTAGTCATGCATTGTCTGCAGAGCCCTTGGGGGGGATCTTTATGTCTAGTGAAGAAGCACTGAAGCCATGCAGTGAGAGTGCTGGCTGAGGGTGGAAGGGCAGGGCACCAGAGCCTGAGAGTAGCAGTGATTAACATGAGCGAGGGGGGCGGACAACTGGCTTGGGAACTCAGAAAGAGGGGCTTGGAGGAGAGCTATTAGTTTCAAATGCCATGCAGAGGTGGAGAAGGCTGTGGCACCTAGGGAACCACCCACAACTTTTCTAGAACAGTGGTGTCAGGTCTGTTGCTAAGCTGTAGAGGTTTAAATAGCAGAGGCCAGAAGAGCAAAGTCCTCTCAGGGAAGGGAGAAGAGTTTGTGCCTGATGTTGCACAGACAGCAGGCCAGACAGGGAGGGGGAGGTGCAGGTCTGTGACAGGGCAGGTCACTGCAGAGGTGGGTAGGCTCTGAGCACGTGGAGAAGCCTTGGACAGGAAGGAGCACAGCCTTCTCGGGACCAGAAGAATGTTACAGGCAGGGAAGTGGAGCAACAACCAGCAGTCTTTCATCACCCGCTTATACCCTTGTAACCTTCACCAACATACTGTATTGTGTCAGCCACAGACTCCTATGGCCACATCCTGGAAACTGCCTGCCGCTCAAATTTTCTACCTAGTATCTCCAATGCTGACCACTGTGCACATGGCTTCCCATTCTTCCAGATCCTCTGTCCTTCGTGTCACCACTCAGCTCTGTGGTCCTTGTTGCCTTCTGACCTCTGGCCACTGACTCAGTCCTTATACTGAGGCCTAGCTCACAGTTGTCATTTCAGCTCCTGTTCTGCAAACTGCAACTTTTTTGCCTGTTCTGTTTCACCCTACTCTCTACATCTCCAGCCCAAGGGCTTCTGTCACACCCCAGCAATTCCCAAACCTTGGGCTTCAGTTCTAGTTCTTCTCCTCAGCTTCTGCATGTGGGTTGTCAGTTGCTTTTTGGCCCTCTCTAACTAGAGAGTAATGGGGGAGAAAAAAGGGGAGCTGAGAGGGAGGGCCGGGGGAAGCTGAGGTTAGGGATGGAGTCAGGGTGGGGATGCTGAGGGTTAGTGACATGCTGGTCCCAGTAGAGCAGCCCATTTGGACTCCAGAGCTGGGAAGTCTTAGTCTATGGTGCTGCTTGGAAGTTTGGTTTAGGGCAGGGGTGTGGATAGGGGCTCCTACCATCAGGTGAGTGCAGCAGACTGAGGCCTTGCTAGTTTTGCCCTTTTATCCCTACAGTCTTGTGTGCTCATCTTCCCTTCACCTGATGGGGTCAGTGTTCCCCAAGTTTGTTACTACAGGTATGTATATTCTCCTTCTATGATTTTGCGAGACTGCAGCACGCTGAGTCTCTCCTCTCTGCACAGTCTCATCCTCCCCTCCCTGCTGTCCTTGAACCCAGCCTTTATAGTTACCCTGGTGTTGAGCAGGGCCTGTTGCCACCTCGCCAAGCCCACTGGCGATCGTACTGATGTTGATGCTGCCCGCCTGAGTCTTGATCGCAGACCTGAGTTCTTGATTCTCCCGAATGAGCCGCACGAGCTTCTTTAGTTCCTCATTCTCGTGCACCAGCCTCTCTATTTGATGCCGAAGCCCTTCATAATTGGTATGTAGAGACATACCCTGGGGCAGCAGAGAAGGTGCAGCCCACAGGAGGGCACCGCACCTGGATGCTGCCCAGGGCCCTGGGTCTTGCCCCAGCTGGAAGAGGGTACCAGAGTCTACCAGGCTGGCCTACTGGGCCCTGGCTATTGTGAGGTCAGAGGCCCTCCTTGGCCCCTGCTCTAAAAGGCTCAGCTCTCTATGCCACTGAGCCAGTACACAGGCCCTGCCTTGTCCTGGGAAGTCTCATCCAATCAATTAGATTGAAGAGCATAAAATCCTGAGGGTTTTTTTGGGGAAGAAGGTGTTAGAGTCCATTCCAGTCCCAACCCCTGTGGCAAAACTACAAAAGCCAAGCCAGGCGTGATGGTGCAAGCCTGTAAACCCAGCACTTGGGAGGCTGAGGCAGGAGGATCATTGGAAGTTCGAGACCAGCCTGGGCTACAAAGTGAGCTCAAGGCCAGCCTGAACTGCATAGCAAGACCCTGTCTCAAAAAGACAAACAAAAAGACAAGAAAAGAAACTACAAAAGCCAACCCTACCTCCTTGACAGACATCTGTAATATAATTTGCATCTGAGAAGACAGGCATCCTGCTCTGGCCTGGTCCACGAATGTCGGCCCCTCCTGAAGGTGTCCTGCCAGCTCAAACAAAACCTTCTGCACACCAAAGTCAAATCCTCCTGTGAAATAATGGACTGGCACCTCTATTCCTATATAAGCCCAAACTCCTTGCCTCTCGGCGTGCGTGCGATTTTTATCCCGCCCATCACTCCCCTTCCAATAAAATTACCCTCTCTTCTCTGTTGCTGTGCCTGGTACCTGGTCCCTCCACCAACCTTAGAGAAAGAATTCTGCCTCAAGATTGTAACAGAAATCCTGCTAGAGTTTCCAGCCTGCCCTATGGATTTCAGACTTCCCAGCCCTCCACAAATATAGTGGACCAATTCCTTAAAATAAATATCTTACTATAAAATAACTATGACTTATACACTGTCTCTATTTCCCTCTGTACCACTGCTTTCCACACTGTGTGTGTGTGTGTGTGTGTGTGTGTGTGTGTATCTCACAACTGTGGCAGCCATTGTGTTAGGAGCTAAGGGTTTAGTGCCAGTCATAAGCAGGCATTGTCCTTATCAACCTAGTGGTACAGTGGGGAGTGGCTGTGAAGTGAGTGGTCACAATGGTAAGTGTCAGGTTACCCTTGTGATGAATATTGCCTAGGGGAGGCACATGGTGCTGGGAGAGGCATATGAGTGGTTTAGGTCCAGATAGACCAAGAAGTGACAATTGAGGTGATGTGAGGAAGAACATTCCAGCAGAGGGAACAGGCTGTGCAGAGGCCACGGGGAGTCTGCTCTGGCAAGAGAACTGTGGAAATAGAGCTGAGGACAAGGTAGCCAGGTGTGGTGGCGCATGCCTGTAATCCCAGCGCTCGGGAGGCTGAGGCAGGAGGATCGTTTTGAGTTCGAGACCAGCCTGGGTTACAAAGTGAGCTCACAGCCGGCCTGAACTGCACAGCGAGACCTTGTCTCAAAAAGACAAAAAAAAAAAAAAAAAGAGAGTAGATGTCTGTGATGGAGGAAGGATGAAGGGTCTGGCGTGAGACAGGGGCTGATGCTGATCTTCATCACATGGACTGACGTAGGGAGGAGAGTGGGCAGCAGTTTGGAGGGAAGGTAGCTGCTGATTGGTGCATAGAGCCACAGCAGTCACCCAACAAGAAACAAGGGTAGTCAGGATGCTGGTGGTGCTGGGCAGGTGGAGAATGTGGACAGGGCTGAGAAGTGCTTGGTGATACAGGATGGAATGCCTTTGGGGATGGCCTAGATATGGGGAATGACACAAAAAAGAAAAAAAAAAAGAAATAGCCTCTGTGGTAAACACAAAAAAGAAATAGCCTCTGTGGTAAAGGGGCCGGGGATATAGATCAGTGGTACAGCACCTACCTTGCAAGTGTGAGGTCATGAGTTCGATCCCCGTTACCACAAAAAAGAAAAAGAAAAAAATAGATATGGGGATGAGGTGAGGATAAAGGCAGGGATGGCTTTGCAGTTTCTGGCCTGGGTGGTGGAGTCCCTGGTTATACCAACCCAACAGGGAGGAAGACCAAGTTTAAAGCAGACATCCTGAGCCAAGTGTCAGAGTGCTGCTGAGATCAGGAGGTCAGGGAGATGCGTCGAGGAAGCAGGGGTTTACTGCTTCAGTTCCCTGCTGTGCATTTTGGAACCATCAGCTTCTAAGTGGCAACTGAAGCTGTACAATAGGATGAGGTCACCCAGGAACAGAACAGAATGATAGAGCCGGGCATGGCGGCTCATGCCTGTAATCCCAACACTCGGGAGGCTGAGACAGGAGGATTGTTGTGAGTTTGAGATCAGCCTGGGTTACAAAGTGAGCTCAAGGCCAGCCTGAACAGCATACGAGATCCTGTCTCAAAAAGACGAAAAAAAGAAAAAGAATAGAAGAAAAAGAAAACAAAAGAAACGAATGATAGAAGAGGTGGCAGGTCCCTTGTGCCTTGAAGAGCTAGGACATGACTGCAAAGGCCATAGAGTGGAAGGGCCCATGGGCCTGGGCAAAAGACTGAAAGAGATGGCTGGGGAAGCAGAGGGTGATCAGCTGAGATGGGACTGAAACATACATCAGCTCTGAGGACTTGGACTTGTGTCACTGGTGACACACCAAACAGTTTGAGTGGAGTGATTTGGCTAATTCCAGGTCAGTAACCCTGAGAAGTGAGTGGGAAGGGAAAGCAGGGACAGCACACGTAACCCTTCCAGGGCTTGGCTGTGCAAAGAAGAATGTGGGCAGAGCTGTGGCAGATCCTTCTCTCAGTGGCGCCTTTCTCTTTCGGAGACCGGCGCCAGGGAAGACTGTGGCCCCCTGCAGCCTTACCACCAGGCTTCCAGCCTCTCATTAGAGTCACAGCACACAGCAGGGGTTCTCTGAGGTGCCCCCAGAATGCTGAGCTGCAGTTTCTGTACTATCTGTGCTCATATCCATCTTCCTCTTCACTCCAATTTCCTCTTTTTCCTTTTCTTTTTTTCATTTCTCTCTCCCTCCCTTCTTTGCTTTTTTTCTTTCTTTTTTAGTACTGGAGATTGAACCTAGGGGCTTCACACTGATATATCCCCAACCACACATACCCTGTACTTTTTTGAGGCATACTGAGCTTGCACTTGTAATCCTCCTGCCTTGGCCTCCCAGAGTGCTGGGATTACAGATACATACCGCCACTCCTGGCTTGCAGCTTTCTTTTTCTTTTTTTGTCTTTTTGAGACAAGGTCTCACAATGCAGTTCAGGCTGACCTTGAGCTCACTTTGTAGCCCAGGCTGGTCTCAAACGTGCAACATGTCCTAGCTCTTCAAGGCACAAGGGACCTGCCACCTCTTCTATCATTCGTTTCTTTTGTTTTCTTTTTCTTTTATTCTTTTTCTTTTTTTCGTCTTTTTGAGACAGGATCTCGTATGCTGTTCAGGCTGGCCTTGAGCTCACTTTGTAACCCAGGCTGAGCGCTAGGATTACAGGCATGCACCACCATGCCAGTAAGAAGCCAATTCTTGACTGGGGTAGTCAGGCCTGTAGGAGCGATAAGAATCTCCCAGATCCCACTCAGGATTTGCATTCCTCAGAGACCTCTTAGGAACTCCCTGCAAGTGAACCTAGGTGTTGTTCCATGTCCTTGTGCTAAGTCAGATGTACTCCTTCTGGTTTTGGGTCACTACTTTATACACAATTTGTCCCCATTCAGATTTGCTTCATTAGATTCAGCTCAGCATTCTAGCTTAGTGAGGACTTCAAGGATCTTTGTTCTCCTCTTGGCTTAAGATTCTTGGCAGATTTAGCAAGATTCTTTCTCAAGCCATCTTTTCAGGGCAAAAAGTTACTGAAGCACCTCTAATTTGGAGTCCTCTGTCCATCTCCTCTCCCCTCTACCTCCACCTCCACCTCCACCTTTTACCTCCCTGAACGGCACCTTAGGAAGCAGCCATATTCTGCATATGGCCCATGAATAGTAGCAGTACTGGCCACGTGACTGTTTGTTTTATTCCTGCCTGCTGTGGCCACTTTTAACCTCATGGTTTGCCAGTATGTGGTAACATCCTGTTAGTGTCAAGGAACTCCTGGGAGGGGTTTGCCCAGCCTTTGCTCCCACATATTCAGTTGGCCCTTGACTGCCAGTGGCCTCCTGATGGTCGCAGTATCTCCTCTGTAACCTTCTTTTCTACTTCAGGCAATGAAAGAGCCATGGATGACATTTATTGAGCGCTCATTGTATGGCAGGCACTGTTGTGACCGTCCTAACAACTTGCAAGGCAGAGATTACCTCATGTGGTAGGTGTGATTGGGTCTCTAAACTGGGCATGGTGTTCATGCTTGCAATCCTAGCACTCAGGAGGCCGAGGCAGGAGGATCATGAGTTTGAAGCCAGCCTGGGATATGTAGCGAGTTTACGGCCAGCTTGAGCTACACAGTGAGACCCTGTCTTAAAATACACTCCTGGGTGCCTGTCTTTCAATATTTTCCCAGCTGTCAATGTCAGGGATTAGTGCAGGCATGCTAGTCTCTGACCTGCTGTTCTGGCCTCCAGCCCACCTCTTTTACCACAGTCTCTCTGCACAGCTGCCAAGGAGACAGGTTGTTATTCTGATGGCCCACCAGATGAAGGCTCTGCCCACACAGAGACTCAGAGTGACATTCCAGGAGGCCAAGGGCCACATCATAGCCTGCTCTGTGTTTCTTTTTCTTTTCTTTTGTCTTTTTGAGACAGGGTCTTGATATGCAGTCCAAGCTGGACTTGGGCTCACTTTGTAGCCCAGGCTGGCCTCCAACTTGCAATGATCCTCCTGCCTCACCCTCCCGAGTGCTAAGATTGCAGGTGTGCACCACCATGCCCGGCTGCTCTGTGTTTCAGAGCCCAGTATAAGCCTTTGTATGTAATAGGTGCTTGGTAAATGCATGAATGCATAGATATTCAAAAGATTTTTTTCTTTTTTTTTTCCTGAAAGAATCACACCAGACAATGTGATGTTGACTAGCAGTTGGAACAGGCAAGGTGTTAACTGGCTCTTGAGTGTCTGAGGAAGCCCACATCCCTTTGAATCTGGAAGGTTTGGGAAAGCAGCAGCTCCAGGAGAGTGGGGACATCTGCTGTCCTGCCAGGCAGGAGCTGGTAAGAGGGGCCTCAGAGGAAAGGACTTGGCTAGAAGCAGTGACCTCTTGGAGTATGACCTTGGTCATCAGCCGCACGTTTCATCCGGTTACCCCTAAGGAAGGGATCAGGGCTAAATGCCAGGGCAGAACCTAGGAGCGCTCTTACCGGGCTTTGGAGCCTTGTTAATTTCCTCTTGTTGCTGGTTCTTCACTGCTTTTTACCAAGCGTTGTTTGGAGGGCAACAAAGGCACAGAGTTGAGAAGACCAGCATTCAGGGTAGGAGCTGAAAACCATGACGGGAGGCAGAGTCACCCATGAGAGAAGGGCAGGCCAACCCTGGAGCCTGCTAGAGGTGTGCAGCCAGGGCTTTAAGCCCCCAGATTTAGGCCACTATCACAGACTACTTTTTTTTTCTTCTGTTTTTTTTTTTTTTTTTTTTTTTTTGACAGGGTCTTCCTGTGCAGTTCAGGCTGGCCTTGAGCTAACTTTGTAGCCCAGTCTGCACTCGAACTCAAAACGATTCTCCTGCCTCAGCCTCCCTAGTGCTGGGATTACAAGCGTATGCCACCACGCCCGGCCACAGACTGCTATTGATGGGGCATCTTACCAAACCTTTATTTCTCATAGCTTTAGAGGCTAAGAAGCTCAAGATTAAGGTGCTAGCAGAGCTGGTGTCTTTCTGGGAAACAGATGGCTGCTTTTTTCTGTGTCCTCTCGTGGAGGAGCTCAGGAAAAGAGAGGAGAAGCAAGGACACTCATCCCATTTACGAGAGCTCCACCTTCAGGACCCGTCACCCACAGATCCTACCTCCTAACACCGTAACCTTGGGAGTTAGGATTTTGGAGGTACACAAATATTTCAGTCCATAGCAAACGCCAAAGCCCAACCTCAGACCCATGTTGCTCCCGTCCTGACTTCCCATTAACTCCTACACCTTCAACTTGTGTGCTACCCCTAAACCCTCCCACCCAAGTCTCTGCCAGTTGCCATCAGACCTGCCACTCTCCCTTCATCCGCAGCACAGGACAGTTATGAGCCCCAGCTCGAGACTTTCTTGCTGTGCCTGTTTCCTGTCTGCACAGTGGGGCTAATGATGCCCCTTCCGCCCACTGCTGTTACATTAGATGAGGTAATGCATGGGAAACAGGGCACTGCCTGGCACACCATAAATCTAAATGCATTTTCTCATCAGCTCACAGATCTGGAGAACCTGGCAGGTGCTGGGCACACTGTGGCTCCCAAAGGATGCTTCAGGAAACAGTCAGGCATGTGGAAGCCAGGTTCTCTCTCTGGCACTGTCTATATTGCTGAGAAATGCCCAGTGCAGCCAGGTCGGAAGCTGACAGGAGCACGGGGCTCTGTTCCCTCCCTGGGGTGCTCACAGGAGGTCATGGAGTTGGGAGCAGGGGCTAGGCTCTGACAGGCCTGTGCCAGGGTCCCTGCTCAGGCAGTATGGCTGTTTGGCCAGGGACTGTGTGCCCCTCCACGCCCCAGTGTCTTCCCTTGGAGCATGCTGTCTGTCGCTGCTGTGAGGACCATGTGTTCAGGCATTTCTCTAAAGCAGGCATGGAGCGGTTCAGGGAGCACAGCAAAGGCCCTGCTGCTGTGGAGCTGGCATTCTGGGATGATGGGCAGTGGACAGATAAAGGGGTGATGAATGTAGTGGAATGAAAAGAAAAAAAAAAGAATGTAGCAGAATGCATGTCTTGAGGATGGATAACACAGGGGCAGGGAGATGAAGAGGGTGGGGATTTTTTGGGCACAGGGTGGTCAGGAAGGCCATGCTGATAAGGTAACACTTGGGAGGAGACCTAAACAATGAAACCAGGTACAGTACTAGGGACTGAACTCAGGGCTTCACACCTGGTTGGCAAGCACTTTACCACTTTACCTGAACTTTACTGTCCCTTCTTTTGCTATA